ATTTCCAGGGAAAGTGCCAGCCTCATTTTCCCCATCTGTTAAACAAGAATGAGAGTGCCCTCCCTCCCATTTGCCTCACAGGTTCGGGGCCGGGGTCTGGAGGCTGCCTTGGGTGCATCTGTGGGCAAGGAGCCCAGCTGACTGCCAGGGTCTCCTGCAGACCCGAATTGGCCACACCCCAGGTTGGTTCTCACTTGGCCGGGGGAGGGGTTGTTTGGGGAATCAGTGGAGTTGGGTGAGCCCCCTGAGCCTGACTGTTAGCTGCAGAAGTGGAAGGGAGACCCTGGGAGTGGAGGGCTCTGTCCACTCTAGGCCAGCACCTTCAGAGCCGCTTGTCCATGCCTGCTGCTTTCCTGGGCAGGGCCAGTCGATGTGGGGCTGGGCTGGTTACCAGGCAGGGCCTGGGGCCACCTGCAGGCCTGGGCACACAGCTCTGACCCTGAGATTCTCATCCATCCTTGTCTTGCTGTCCCCTCCCATACTCCTCCTGCCCCCTCCACCTGAGGTCATATGCCCTGCCCTGGTTCCCACCATCCCCCAGGACACAGCTGCTGGAGGGGTTGGCAGGAGGAGCCCAGGGCATGGTTCAGTTGACTAAGCTGCAGAGGCAGCTTCAGAGTACCCCCAGACAGCCCTCCTGAGTGCATGAACCGCCGAGACAGGCCAGAGAAGCTGCCTGCCTACCTACCCTAGGTCACACAATGAAATGGGGGTTCCCTACGCTGGGGCAATATCCAGCCTCCCTGGCTTCTGCCAGGTTCTGCCAGGCCCAGGCTGGCCATGCAGGACTCAGGGGACCCCCAGAAGGCCTTGGCACAGGGTAGGGAGGAGGCTGGGGGCTTGCCTACCTGGTCAGCCGGACCCTCCTTCCTGAGTTTGCAACTCTCAAGACAGAGCAGCGTGGGCTTAGGCCTCTTGTGCCTGTTGCCACTGCTCGGGACCCTTGCCCAGGTGCCACTGGATGCCCAAGACTGGGAGGAGGAGGAGCAGTGGGAAAGAAGGGGAAGGAGAGGATGGAGGCAGGAGAGGGAGCTGGACGGGGGAGGGAAGAGACTGCCCTCCCCCCTTTGTCTGGCACCCCTGCCAAAGCTGCTACCTCATAGGGAGGATGAGTCACGGCTGGAATTCCCAGCAAGAGCCTTGGAATTCTCTGGGATCCACAGTCTACCTGGATAGGTGGGGGTGGGGTAGGGAGGTCTGGCCAGGCCCAAGAGAGACTGTGAGGAGAGGTGGGTGCAGACAGGGCCCATACAGCCTGCTAGAGCTGGAGAGGACTGGAGACCTCTGCAGGGAACATCTGCCTTGGTGTCTAACCCCTCCACCAGGGCAGAGGATTGACAGGTGCTGGGAAGGCCAACCAATTGGTCTCATGGGACTTGCCCTGGGGCGATGGGGGCCCTAGAGTAGTTGAGCCAGCTCAGAGCAACAGTGCCTGATATCACAGCATCTTCCAGCCAGCCTGGCTCCAGCGCAGACACTCTGAGGGGAAGAGAGGCTGAGGGCTTGGAGGCCCTATACCAGGGCCCCGTGATAGAGGCAGAGGACAAGGTTTGGCTGGTTCTTCTTGGTTCCTGGCTGGACCCAGGCAGTGGGCAGGCTGGTGGGGTGGAGTCTGGGCGCGCTTCCCGGCACAGCCCTCATTTCCCCTCGAGGAACTGGCATAAGACTCAGCCAGAACTATGCACAGGGGAGGGGCCTGCTGGACACTGAGCCTGCAAGGGGCAGCAAGAGACCCCCACAGGGCCAGAAGGAGCCAGGAAAGGACCTCAGGGGATGTGAGGGAGGAAGGATTCCCTGCATTTAGCACATTTACTACCTCCATTTTATGGAAAAGAAAACTGAGGCTTAGAAAGAGGTACAGATTTTCCCCAAGTCACTCAGCCTGAGACTTGGAGTCCAGCTCAGGTAACGTCAGGCCCTGAGCTTTCAGAAGTCAGCCGCACCTCTCAGCACAGTGTGAGGGTGATGGGGGTCTCTGGGTGGCTGGCTCGCTCAGTGTGGGCAGTGCAGAGGGCCTGGAGGCAGGATTTGAGGCTGGTGATGATTGGGGTGGGGGACTGTAGGGTGGTAGACAGGCTGCCCCACTTTAAGCATGGTCCTGCCTTCTCCCCACTACCTCACACTGAGCCCCTCCTTTCAGGAACACACACATGTAGGAGGCAGGAAGGCCAAAGTCCAGGAAGTGGGAGCCTACCATGGACAGATACTGAGAGACCCACAGCAAGTCCCCCCAACACCACCTCCCCATACTACCTGAGCCTTTGGGCCTCAGTTGCCCTTCATCAGCCTCCCCAGGTAGGTCCCCAAGGACTTCAAGGAGGGCCTCAAACCCTATCAAAGTATGCTCTGAGCTCGCTGGACCCACCTCCTCAGAGCAAAGGAAAGAAGTGGTAATGGCCATGAAGCCTCAGGCCTGGCGCCCACAGGTGTGAACTAGGGAAGAGGCTAGGCTTCCTGGAGCCCGCGCCTCCAACCCAATAGGGCCCTTCTTGTCTGGCCTTCTGAAAGTCAGAGCAGTCCTCTGAGCAGGACTGCTCCAGGTCAAAGCCAAACAAGACACATTGGCAGCCTCTGAGAACATGGAGGGGCTGTGCCAGGCATTCAGGCCAGGCCAAGGGCGGCGGGAGCAGGACTTGAGGTCTGGCATGCCCTGGGAGCTCACCGGCAGATGTGTGACCCACAAATGCCAAGTTGTAGATGCTGGATGCTGTCCCTTGGCCTCAGGCCCAGGTGTCTGGCCCCAATGAGCCACCCGACCTGAATTCTGACACGCGTGCCACCTTCCACTCAGCCTTGCCAGGTCCCTGGGACTGTGTGGGTGGGGTGGGGTGAGAGACAGACAGGCGATTCAGGGCGCCTTTCCTCCCCCCTTCAACCCCGTTCACCAAACCCTCTGGATCCAGCTTCAACCAGAAGGCGAGAGGCAGGGTTGCTGCCCAAGATGACCCTCAGCTGCTCCCTACTGCCTTCCCAGGCTACAGCCCCCTG